ATTGGTCTGGGAACCTATCATAGACACCAAAATTTGTGCATACTAAAGTCCCTCGTATAAAATGGCATAATATTTTCATATTATGTTGCACTTCCTCCTGTATGTTTTTTTTTAAAGATTTATTTTTTTATTATTTTTTCATTGCAAAGGCGGATATACAGAGAGGAGAGACAGAGAGGAAGATCTTCTGTCCAATGATTCACTCTCCAAGTGAGCCCAACGGTCGATGCTATGCCTATCTGAAGCCAGGAGCCTCTTCCGGGTCTCCCACGCGGGTGCAGGGTCACAAAGCCTTGGGCCGTCCTCGACTGCCTTCCCAGGCCACAGGCAGGGAGCTGGAAGGGAAGCGGGGCTGCCGGGATTAGAACAGGCGCCCATATGGGATCCCAGGCGTGCAAGGCGAGGACTTTAACCACTTGCGCCACCGCGCCAGGCCCCTCCTGTATGTTTTAAAATATCATCAGATTACTTGTAATACCTAACGTTAAATCATATATATTTTAAAAGGTTTATTTATTTTGATTGGAAAGACAAAGAGTGAAAGATCTTCCATCTGTTGATTCACTCCCAAAATGGCTGCCACAGGCAGAGCTGACCCAGTCTGAAGGCAGGAGCCAGGAGCTTCTTCCGGCTCTCTCAGGCAGGCTTAGGGTCCCAAGGTTTGGGCTGTCCTCTGCTTTCCCAGCTACAAGCAGGGAGCTGGAAGGGAAGTGAAGCAGCCAGGGTCTGAACTGGCACCCATATGGGATCCTGGTGCATGGAAGACAAGGACTTCAGCCACTAGGCTACCACGCAGAGCCAACTAAATCATGTTGTTTGCAGACTGATGACAAGGGGAACGAGTCTTTACTTGGTCAGTACAGTTTTTTCTGAAAAATTTCAATCTGCGTTTCTTTGACTTTATGATATGCAGAAATGTACGTCTTTCTTGAAATTCCAGTTCTTAGAGACAGGTGTTATTAATGGCTTAATATATGTCTCTGCAGGTCACTTTTATGCATATAGGTAATTCTTCCTACTATACTATTATAAACTAGCAGTAATTTTTGTACACCAAACTAAAAAGAGTGAAACATAATATGAAAACTACTACATTTTGTTCTGATGAGTCTTCTCTATATTTGGGCATTGCTTTGGTTCATTTTGAAATGAGGTTTTCATTTTCAAATAGCCTAACTACACTTAGATTACTCTTAGTATGTAAAATATTAATAACTAAGACAATTTGTACACAGTAAATTATGATAGCTATAAAAAAGTTTTTGAAGTGGCAAAACTTTTTTTCTGATAAGTTAATGCTTTTTTAAAGGTTGGTTTATTTATTTGAAAGGTATAGTTACAGAGAGGGAGGGAAAGCAGAATCTCCCATTTGCTGCTGGTTCACTCCACAAAAAGGAGCCAGATCTTCACTTGGGTGGCAGAGGCTTAAGCACTTGGGCCATCTTCCATTGCTTTCCCAGGCACATTATCATGGAGCTGGATCAGAAGGGGTGCAGCTGGGACTTGAACTGTAGGTTATTGGTATCACAGACTGCAGCAGCTTATCCTGCTATTTCCCAGCACCTGCCCCAAATTAATGTTCTTTGTAACCTTACAAAAATAGAACAATAATCCAATCACCAAGTTTTTTTGTGTACAAGGAACTACAACAGGAGACAGTGGTATCCAGAATTTCTCCCAACCCGAGTAGAACCAGTGACTGAATAGTAAATTAGGATAGCTGTGAGATGGCTCAATGGGTAAATCCTCACCTTGCAACTACTGTGATCCCATATGGATGCTGGTTCATGTCCTAGCTGCTCTACTTCACATTCAGCTCCCTGCTTGTGGTCTGGGAAAACAGTAGAGGATGGTCCAAAGCTTTAGGATCCTGCACCCTCATGGGAAACCTGGAAGAGGCTCCTGGCTTCAGATTGGTTCAGCTCCAGCTGTTGCAGCCATTTGGGGGAGTGAACCAGTGGATGGAGGATCTTTTTTTCTGTCTCTTTTTCTCTTTGTAAATCTGATTTACCTTTTTGATTAAAAAAAAAGAGTAAACCTTAAAAGAAAAGTAAATTAGAATGTATATTTTCAAAAATATCCTAAAAGTGTAAGGTAGCACTGGAAGAAGACAAGCTCATTGGTATCTAGGAGATGTGACAAGATAATGGATACTAAGTAAAAGTCAGTGTCACCATGGAGTTTATAAATGGCAGTCCATGGGGTCTGCAGAAGACATCTGGTACCATAGCAGAGAATGGAGGGGAGAACGAATTGAACAATTCTCCCAGTCAAGCATTGATAGCAAGCATCTGAGCAAATGGAGGCTCTAATGATCAGCCAATGGATCTTAGATTTCCTCATCCTTGTAGCAACGAAATCAATAGCATTTCAGAGCTACCTGAGTAGTAACCATGGAGCATGCTCCATTGCGGACCCCTGGATGACATTGGTGGCTGTGCTCCATCCCCTGATACTGATGTGGTTAGAATGCTGGGTACAGCTTCTCTCATTTCTTCCTTCCCCAGATATAGGAAGAAGGAAAAGAAACTTGGAAACAATGTTCTCATCCACTTTTTCCTAATCCTTGACCCTTGCCATCATAATTAGTGAGCCACATGGGCATGCATCCTTCCCAACTATGTAAACATCATTGGAAATAAAATAATTTTCAATGTGGCTCAATTGCAGAAAGTAAACTTCTATGAACAGTCGTAAGTAAGAGAAAAGAAAAACTATTGTGGGTGGTGAGGTAGAAGATTTCCTTGGTGAATAAAGGAAGAAATTATTTGAGCTATTAGAAATGAGAAATTATTCAGAGGGTTGAGATTAGGCCAATAAATATCCAGTTCTATAATCTTAAATAGTGATGTGGATAGAAATGGAGTAGAGAATCATGGACTAGGTGAGGGAGCAGTATTATGTCACCAGTTTGGTTTAGATCTGTGTATTTGGGTGATGACATCAGATGTATAACAAACTGACCCAAAGTTGGGGCTTAACACAGATTCTTAGTTACGATTCCGTGGGTTTGCCCAGTTAGACTGAACTGAGAAGTTCTAGGTTCACTTGGGGCAGTAGAAAGCTGGCTGGGCTGGGGAGAAGTGTTCTCAGGGTGTTACATATTGAGCAGTTGCAGCATTTGTTTGGTTTTAAGTGGTTTGCTCACAGGGTGACAGGTATCCAAGGAGCTGAAAGTGGGTGTCAAGAGGGCTCTTGAAACCTGAGTTCAGAACTCCTGTTGGTGCAGCAGAACTAACCTTAGATTTAAAGGAGGAGGTATAGGTAATCTTCACCTACTTTAATCCATTTGAGTAGTACACTTACATGTGGTTAAAAGCTTGAGATGGTGCCTGAATGAGTGATTTTTAATTTAACTTGGTTTTTCTTATTTTTTTTCACATATTTTCTATGTTACAAACCTGGTATGATTAAATAAACTCACTTTGTATGCTAACAAAAAAATCCTGATTCATTCATCAGGTGCCCTTAAGAGCTGGGGCTAGAGCATGCAGGGTACAAGAATGCCATCTGGGTCTCCCATGTGAGTGTCAGGAATCCAAGTACTTGGGCCATCTTCTTCATCCCCCCGGTGCATTAATAGGGAGTTGAAAGCATGGAGTAGCCAGTACACTGTTTTAGGATGCAGGTGTCCCAAGAGGTACCATGCTCTACTGTACCAGGAAGAGATCTTATGTCTACGATTCCATTTCCAAATGGACCCAATGGTCGCATCTGGGTCCAACTGGCACCAATTCTCCCAAGTGGGTGGCAAGGATCCAGAAATTGGGGGTTCTTCTGCTTTCCCAGGCATGTTAGCAGGGAGGAGGACTGGAAACATAATAGCTGGGATTTAGACCAACACTTAAAGTATTATTTTGATATGGGGCACCAGTGTAGCAAGTGGTGGCTTAACCCATTAAACAATACTGCCCCCCAGACTTATTTTTAATGTGGAAATTGATATGAACAGAAGTACTTCTATTCTGGCACTCAGGATGTTGATTGATTAGATTAGATTTTTTCCCTCATGCATCACTAAATAGTGCCATTTGTGCATGGTTTATGTCCAACTCTTATGCGCGTAAGAGTAGCTAGTATTGTTACTATAACCATTAGCAAGGAAGAGATATTTTCTGAGATCTTGCTGAATTGCAGAAGACCCAAGACATATCTTTTTAAAATAAATCTGAAAGATAATATTGAAGTCATTTATTTGGTAACTTAAAAAATATACAGATAATGTGTTGCTTAACAACAAGGATATATGTGAGAAGTATATCTTTAGGTAATTTGCTTGTGTGAACTTTGTATACTTTCACACATCTAGATGGGATAATTTGCTATGTACTAATACCATGGTAGAACTTGCTTTTAAGCTACACACTTAGCATAGTACTGTATTGAGTACTGTGGGGAATTGTAACACAGTGGTAAACACTTGTATATGTAAACATGTAAATATAAAGATGTGTAATAAATATACTGAGTGATAGGACCTTTCCAGCCCTGTTATAATCTTAGGGGACCTTTACTACCTATACTCCCTGTTACTGAAATGTCCTGAGGCAAGTGATATTGATATTGTTTCCTTTTTAAAAATGTCCTAAGAGAATTGTATTGAATGAGGTGATATTAATTGTGTCATTCCAATTTTACAAGGGTAACCAGAAAAATTGGGTCCTTTTGTGTCTATACTTTTTTTTTAGGATTGATTTGTGTTTTTAAAAGTCAGATTTACCCAGAGAGAAGGAAAAACAGATTGAGTTCTTCCATGTGCTGGTTCTCTCCCGAAATGGCTGCAATGGCCAGGGAAGAGCCAGGGAGCTGGACAGGAGCCATTATGGATGTCAACATAATGTTCCACGACCACAGGCCCTGTGTTTGAACTTGAACTCCTTAGTCTAAAGCCCCATTCTGTGTCCCCAGCATCACTGCTTCTCAAGAATGGCTGCAGGGCACCATGGGTATTCCCGTTGTGATAGCAGATGCTTAATCCCTTGTCCATGTGTCTCCCCCAGATTTCACCAGAAGCTTGAGTATCATTAATCCTGAACAGATGATCGAAAAAGCCAAAGGAGAAACTGCTTATCTGCCATGCAAGTTTACCCTTAGTCCCGAAGACCAGGGACCGCTGGACATTGAATGGCTGCTGTCACCAGCTGACAATCAGAAGCCAGATCAAGTGGTAAGTTTGATAAGTGCTTGTTCCCCTAGCGACTGCTCGTGCAGCTGTCCTAGGTAGCCATCACAGTGCTGACGCCTTGGCTGAGTCACCGGGAGCTGCAAGGAAAGCTGCAGACCTCTCTCGTGCTGGCTGAAAGCTGGCAGAGATCGCTGTGTGGGGAGTGAGAACACAAATGGAATGGAATGAAATGGGTAATAAGTGAGCGCACATTACGAATAGGAAAAGGACAGTGGGCACAGACAGACAATAATGGAGTGACAGAACAGGCATGGTAGTGAGACAGTGTGTGAGACTATAGCAAGTAACGTGTACTTTGCTAAAGGTTAGAGAGCAGAATCCTCTTTGCTTCATTTTCAAGTCAAATATCTCATGTGAGTTTTCTAAAAATCAACATAGTTTCTTTTTAAAGATTGATTTATTTGAAACAGTTACAGAGAGGGAGAGACAGAGATATGCTAGGTACTGGTTCATTCTCCCTGTGGCCAGGCTGAGCCATGCTCAATTCAGAAGCCAGGAGCTTCATCAGGGTCTCCCATGTAGGTGAAAACATCTTAAGCACCTGGGCCAGTTGCTGCTTTCTCAGGCGCATTATCAGGGAGCTGGATAGGAATCACAACAAACAATTCTAGCTGGCATTGCGAACAGTGGCTGAAGCTACTGCGTGACAACACCAGCTCCAAAATGAAGTTTTAAAAAATATTCTATTTATTTACTTTTATTTTTTTTGAAAGGCAGGTAGAGAGAGACTTTCATTCCTTGGCTTAATCCCCAAATTCCTGTAACAGCAAGTGCCGGGCCGGGCTACTGCCAGGAGCCAGGAACTCCATCCTAGACTCTAATGTGGGTGGCAAGGGCCCGAGGACTTGGGTCATCTTCTGCTGCTTTTACAGACACATTAGCAGAGAGCTGGATCAGAAGCAGGGCAGCCAGCACTCCATATGGGTTGTTAGCATTGCACACACTGGTTTAACTCTTCATACCACAATGAAATCCCAGCCATTGTGGCCAGTTGGGGGAAGAACCTGCTCATGAAAGATGTGTCTTCTCTTGTCTTCTTTTCTCATCTCTCTCTCTGCCAGAGAGACACACACACACTTCTGCTCTGATTTGCTCAGGGAACTTTGTAATCAAAATGAGTTGATTCTGTCTGTTCAGCCCATATACCTGTTGGCGCTTTTTCTCGTTTTTATTTGCTATTTTGCGTGCTCTCTGTGGATATTCCAACAAGCTCATACTTGAGGTCCTGCAGTGCAAGTTTACCTTGCAGGTTCCTGGGGAGAAGATGCGACCGAAAAGAAATGGGGGGACAGTGCTCTCTTGGGCAACTAAGTTTGTTTCCAGGGTTCTAGTTTGTATATATTTAACAAAGCAACACCTCAAACACAGTTCAGCTCAGAGATCAGTTACAGTGATCACGTTTAATATACAACACGTGTCACATGTGTAAGCAGGGAGTTCCAGAAGAGCTAGCAAGGCACCAGGATCAAAGCACTGTCGGTGTGAGATATTAATAAGGAACATTACTTTGATTTAGGATAATTGGCTAGCTAGCGCACAGATGTTTGCTGTATATCAGGAGAGCATGAAAGCACACCCAAGGACTCACTGGGTACAAGAATGCACTGTGGGTGAGAAGCCCTTTACCTTCTCTTTCCTGGAGCCTCTTCTCAACAGACTCCCACAGGCCTGCGCTGTGCCAGCTGTCCTGTTGGATGTATTCCGACACCGCAGTTTCCTGCTTTTGTCCTTTACAGTCCAGGCCTGATCCCTTCTGTGGTTAGGGTAGGAGACTAGGGCTCTTCAATCTTTCAGGATTAAGAATTGAAATAAGGAAGCCAACGATGAGCCATATATAGAGACCAGGAAACACAGGGTGACCTGAACTTGCAGTGCATCTAATTGTGGGGAAAAAGACCCTAGGTATTCCGTGTTGAGTGGGAGGCACAGCCTTGTTGTCTGGAGATGTTGTGAGAACCTTTGAGTATCCATTTCCATGTGTGAAAAATCTAACTGCAATCTAAAACACAGTAGTTTCTGTCTAAAGGCAAAGGAAAAGAATTTGGGAAAGCTGATGCATCAGTGGATGTGTATGTGGAATTTCAGGGGCAGTGTATGCCAACCTGAAGCCTGTTTTTACTGTATTGAAGCTAGTGAACAGTTTGGTTAGGAATCAGAAGATTGTGTTAGAGAGATTTCTGCCTTTCTTCCCTGTGTGATCTTTAGTTAATAGTTATCATGCACTATACCCTGGGCAGTGTATTATAGTTTAATTGTCTATGCTTACTTAAGTCTTAAAAAATGATACTATAAAAGTACACATCCAGAAAGGAAGGAAAGGGTCCAGAGAATCAAATGCCCAGGCTTGGTCCCTTAGTGGACGATAGATGCAACTGGGATTTGAACCCCCGTCTCTGACTCTTTCATCTGCACTTCTGTTATCATTTACATGATCCTGTGTTGTCTGTTACTTCATGAACCTTAGGTAGGAAAAATTATACTTCAGGATTGTTGGAATTCAGTAAAACAAACAAAACACCAAGAATCAATTATATGTTACTGACTGTTGCTGAAGGTCTATTGTAATAGTATGGGGATAACGGTGGGGAGGGAATGGGAAGGGTAGAAGAGGAAATCTCTGACCCTCTTCAACTATATCATGAAAAATAAAAATAAAAACTATATTCCATGAGCAATTTTGTCTGCTGTAAGTGAATAGAAATGTTACTCTATTCTCATGTTCTTTTCATGGGAAAAAGTGAAGCTGATTTATGAAATAACCGTTGATAGGGACACATTTTACTAGGGAGAGGGCTGTTTAAATGACTTTTAAGTGTGTGTACGCACATGTGTAGCCAAATGAGCATTTGAAAGTTCAGAGAGGTACAGGTGTTGTGACTTAGTGAGTTAAGCCATCACCTGCGATGCCTGTATACCGCATCGAAGTGCCAGTTGGGGTTCCAGCTCAGATCCAGTTGTGTGCTGATGTGAAAAGAAAGGCAACAGAGGAAGACGGCCCAAGTGGCTTGGGACTCTGCCACCTGTGTGGGAGCCCAGATGTACTCTCAGGCTACTTGGCTTCAGCCTGGTCAAGTCCCAACCGTTGCAGCCATTCGGAGTGTGAACGGATGGAAGATTTGTTTCCATTTTACCTTCTCACTCTGTCAGCCTTGGAATAAATAATATTCTTAAATCTGTAATGTGAAATACATGATATTGATTTACCCTGCCCATAAGAAAATTTAAAAAACAAATAAAAGAGAAAAACAGAAAAAAAGAAAAGTATGTACCCTACATAAACAAAATAATTTAAAATGTAAAGAAAACATAATAAATCTTCAAAGTGATAAGGAATAATGGAAATAGAAGCTATTTTATTTCAATAGTTAAATATGGTTAGAGAAATCTCATTTGTGGAGTCTTACTGCTGTAGACAAGTGGGTGTGAAGCAAATAAAGTGATGGTCGTATTCAAGTCAGCTGTGATTCTTCAACCTCTTATTTTCTTAATAAGCAGACTTAAATGTCTCCTAGTTGCAGACACTATATAAATAAGATCAGAAATGGATGGTAGGAAAGAAGGCAAACAGAAAGAACTGATGTGCTTCCACTCTGGAAGTTCCTATAGAATCAACTTGGGAAAAGGTGTTCTTGATCGTTTTGATTTTGATTTTGATTAAATTGTACCATAAGCAGTAATTCTGATTTGAAAGCAGCTTGCAGGACATGGCCTGTGATCATGCTCCTGTTTATTATTTGAGTGTGGCTGCACACTCTTTGGCCTTTAAGTCTAAGATAACCATGAAATATGTTAAATTAATTTTAAAGATTGTTAGTGATAGCAATTGTTATCTTCTAAGTCAAATTTAATGAGGATTGTATTTCCCCTAAGTGTAGACTTCTGTGATGACTATTAAAGTCTCTAACAGGAGGCAGGTTTAGACACCCACCTCCCATTTTAGAGTATCTGAGTTCGATAGCCAACTCCAGACAGTGCAGATCTAGGAGGCCTCCAGTGGGGACAGCTGAGTCGGTTTCCTGGCTGCTGTGTGTCTGAGCTTTGATTGTGGGTATTTGAGGAGTCAATCAGCAGGCAGGAGGTTGCTCTTGCAAACTTGAAAATAGAAAAAAGAGTCAGTGTGGAAACCTTCTCTGGGATCATCTTAACCTTAACGTTTCTGTTTTCTCATTCTGTTATTTGGAGAATTGTTGAGTTTCTGATCATACTGTGTTCCCTGGATGGGCTCTGTAGTAACATTGTGTATTCAAGCTCCTTTAATAAAACAGTATGTCTTGTTTGATTTTTTTTTTTCCCTCAATCTTACCTTGATTTTCTTTTAGATTATTTTATATTCTGGAGACAAAGTTTATGTAGACTACTATCAAGATCTGAAAGGACGAGTACATTTTATTAGTAATGATATCACGTCTGGTGATGCATCAATAAATGTAACAAATTTACAGTTATCAGATGTCGGCATTTATCAGTGCAAAGTGAAAAAAGCTCCTGGTGTTTCAAGTAAGAAGGTTCAACTAACAGTTCTTGGTAAGTTATTTTTATTTGTATTAATGTGTTACTTAGCAACGGGGTAAGTGCTCACAGAAGTACTGTGGTAACAGCAGTATTTATGTAAGACAAAACTTAGCTTTTGTGAGTAATAATTTTAAACATTTGAAGTATTTCTAATGCCTTTATTGGCATAAAACATAAAACTAACACTTTGGGGGAAGGGGTGTAAAAAACCTGAGTGACCAGCTGCTTTGTGAAACTCCATGTGTTGAAAATAAGTGAAGGAATAGTGTGATGTGGTGGAAGAATCTTGCTATGGTTTGTTTGGTATCTTCCCAGCAGAACTTGGGTTGAGATTCAGTTCCTCTGTGTAACTGTAGGATCTCGAAGAGGTGACTAGGTCACAGGGGCTTCTGTAGTTCCCACAAGATTGGGTTAAGTTCTCTCAGGAGTGAGATTCTACAGCGTGAATCGGCTCAGTTCTTCCTTCCCTCTCCGCCTCATGCACCTGTTTGTCCTCTCCCAAAAAACGTTCCTCATCAGAAGTGAAGCCAGTGCTACTGACATGCTTTTGGACCTCCAGAACTCCAAGCTGAAGGGATCTCTTTCCTTTGTGGTGTCAGTCATGAATATTTTTTCAATCAACAGCATGCTACAATAACCCTAAACTAGCAGTTTTGAGATGGGCGTTTGTTGCCTTCTCTTCAGAATTTATGCTGGAAATTGAAACCGAATCTTCTTTTTTTCTTAGGCTTTGGCCTATTTCTTTCTTTTTTTTTTTTTTGAAACATGAAGTGATTTAATTATGATCAAACCTGTCAGATCTCATTCACTTCAGGATTGTGTAGTGGGTTTTAAGGGTGTATCTTCATTATTCAGAAGATAATGAGATTTATATGATGACTAATCAAATATCAAATATATGCAGATATAACAAATGTTTCTTTAGTTTTTTAAAAAATAATTTATTAACTTGAAAGTCAGGGTTACAGAGGTAGAGATCTTCTGTTTCACTCCCCAGATGGCTGCAAACAGAGCTTGGCCAGTCTGAGGCCTGGAGCTTTATGAAGGTATGGCATGTGGATGTAGGGACCTTAACAATTGTGGCATCCTCCACTGCTTTGCCAGGCACTTTAGCAAGGAGCTGGATCAGAGTGTAGCAGGTGGGACTCTAACCAGTGCCCATATGAAATGCCAACGCTGCAGGCAGCAGTTTTATAACCTATGCCACAATGCCAACCTTGGAGGAGGTTACAGTCTAAAAAATGAGTCATTGGCAATTTTGTCCTTATATGATCATCTTAGATTCTACTTACCCAAAGTTAGATGGTATCACTTACTAGGATATAAGATCACTTCTAGGATATAAGATATCTTTTGTTGGGTACTTAGGCATTGAAACTTTATATCGCATTTAGTATGTAGAAGATAGAATATGATAGGGGGACTATTCAATTAGTAAGACCAATAGATGTGAGGTATTTAATTCCTCTGTCCTTACTGGTATTGTTCTTCTCCCCCTCCTTCTTTAGGATTTGTTTATTTGAAAGGCTGAGTTTTGGAGAGATAGAGACAGAAACAGAGAGATCTTCCATCCTCTGGCTTACTCCCCAGCAGCTGGAGCTGGGCCTGTCAGGAGTTTCTTCAGGGTCTCCCATGTGGGTATAGGGGTCCAGAAACTTAGGCCTTGTCCCCTGCAGCCCAAGAACATTAGCAGGGAGGTGGATTGATATTAGAAGCCAGGATTGGAACTGGTGCCCATATGGGCTGCTAGTGCTGCAGGCCATGACAGCCAAAGTTATCTTTTAAAGATTTGACTACAAAGTTTATTGTTTATAAGACTATTGATAAACTTACTCATAAATATACTTCTTTTTTTTTTTTTTTAAAGATTTATTTATTTATTGGAAAGTCAAATATACAGAGAGGAGGAGAGACAGAGAGGAAGATCCTCCATCCGATGATTCACTCCTTAAGTGAGCATAACGGCCGATGCTATGCCGATCCGAAGCCAGGAGCCAGGAACTTCTTCGGGTATCCCACATGGGTGCAGGGTCCCAAAGCTTTGGGCCATCCTCGACTGCTTTCCCAGGCCACAAGCAGGGAGCCGGATGGGAAATAGAGCTGCTGGGATTAGAACTGGCGCCCATATGCAATCCCGGGGCATTCAAGACGAGGACTTTAGCCGCTAGGCCACACCGCCGGGCCCATAAATATACTTCTTAGATTTTACTGTAATAGATTTTCACAAAATGTATAATGACTACAGTTTACAAAAGCATTCATGCATCACTTCTGGGGTTTCTATTCTGTTCCACTGATCTCTGTTTTTGTACCAGTTCCAGACCATTTTGATTATCACTGCTCAGTAATATGTTTTGAGGTCTGGAATTGTGATTCCTCTAGCTTTGTTTTTATTCTTCAAGATAGCTTTAGCCTTTCATGATTTCTTGTGTTTCCAGATGATTTTTATATTTTCTGTTTGTGAGAATGTTGTTGGGATTTTGATTGGGATTGCATTGAAACTGTATATTGCTTTTAATGATGTGGACATTTTGATGATGTTGAGTCTACCAATCTAGGAATGTGGTCAATTTCTTCATCTTTTAATGACTTCTTCTCTTTCTTTTCTTTTTTTTTTTTTTTGATGTTCTATAATTTTCATCATTGAGATCTTCCACATCTTCGGTTAGGCTTATTCCAAGGTTTTAAATGTTCTCTACTATTTTAAAGGGAACTGTCCTTATATTGGAACAGAATAGAAACTGCAAAAGTGAGCCTACACATGTATACCAATGAATAATCCAGGGAAAAAGTTTGGTCTTGTCAACAGACACTGTTGGAACAATTGGATATTGGCCTGCAGCAGTAGTAAGAAGCAAGACCCCCACCTGTCACCTTTATACAAAAATCAACTCTAAACGGATCAAAGACCTAAATCTGCACCCAAAAAGCATCAGACAATTAGAGGAAGACATAGGAAGAACTCTATAAGATATAGGTATTGTTGAAGATCTACAAAAGTCACCAAAAGTATGGGCAGTCAATAAACAAATGGGACTACATCAAATTAAGAAGTTTCTGTATAACAAAGAAATGGTCAACAAAGTGAAGCAGCAGCTAGTAGAATAGGGGACAATCTTTGCACACTACACAATCAATAGGGAACTCATAATACAGAATTTAAGAAGAGCTTTAGAAACTCACTGACAGAAAAACAATCTTGTGAAGAAATGGGTGAAGGAAATTAACATTTCTCAAAAGAACAAATTCATGTGGTTAATAGACATATAAAAAATGTTTAGGATCGCTAGCTATCAGGAAAATATAAATAAAAAATGCGTTGAGGTTCCACTTAACTCTAGTGAGATTCCTTACATACCTGATGGCATGGATGTAGAGAGAAATGTACCCTCCTTCACTGTTGGTGGGAGTGTAGTCTAGTTCAGTCACTATCAAAGTCAGTATGGAAAGTGCTAAGACAACTGAAAATTGACCTCCGGTATGACCCAGCTATCCCACTCCAGGGAATATATCCAAAGGAGTTGAAATCTGCAAATGAGAACGTGATCTTTAAAAAAAGGTGAAAGCCACAGGGAAGCCTGCTTCTAAGGAAGGAGATCAACAAAGAAGGTTCCATGCCTCAATCTTTTACTGAACTGTTTGGGGAAGTCAAATTACAGGAATTGATGTGACACAAACTGATGACTATATCCCATATTGATATTAACCAGCTAATCTTGATGGACCATCACCCAACTATCAAGCTTTGTCTGCATGCCTTAACCTTGGCATTGGGATTTATTTTTTTCCCACTCACAGACTGTTGTCCACGGATTCCAGATACAGTCTACCATGACATCCCTGCCCCCTCCCCTCCAACTTTTGTCTTTTGGTAGAGTACCTTTAACCCTTTCTGTTTTTTTAAGAGTTAAAATAACTAAATTTGTTGTTGGATAGATTAGATAGAAATCCTTTTTGGTAGAATTTCCTTTCATGGAAGAATATACCCTAAATGTTGCAAGGGATGTGGGGATAACAGCTGTTATGGCTATATCATGCTGAGACTGCATGTCATCGTAAAGGAACAGCAGTAGGGCATTCTTCTCAGGGTCTGTGGCAGAGTACAGCTTTTCTCAGGGGTGTTGTTTGAAGTCCCACATGGATTTTGAAGACTTCCTGTTGTTCAGTCCTAAATAACACAAAACATAAGGCAGTTACAATTTAGTTTTTAATTGAGGGCCTTATGTTTGAGAGTTTCAGTGATCCTCAAGGCTGGAAGCCTCAAGTACAAAGACTTGTCTTCTCATCTGTTAAACTCACCTTGAGAAGCAAGAAGTGGTACTTGTTGGGAGAGCCTGGAGTATCCCAGAGCATTGCCAGTCAATCAGGAAATGCTTCCCCACAACCACATGTACCTTCTTGTTTTGTAGAGATGATTAGGGGTTGATTATAGAAGGGGCTAAATGTTTGGTGTTAGATTGATTTTAAACATTCGTCTTTTACGAAGAGGGAAAATTAGAGCAGAATCAACAATGAAAATTTTTGTGTGAATGTAAAGTGAACCTGAACAAGAACCTTTGTGGGATATGGTTGTTTTGGAAATCTTAGCTTTCTGTGTCTTATATTGTATAAATAAAGGCTTTTCTTTTTTTAGTAAATGAATGAAGAAGATAACATTTTAACATAAGGCAGCACATATGCTGAAGGGAAGCTGGATGAGGTAGCAGTGATGACACGAAGTGTGGCTAAGCACCTTCTTGGCAGTACCATGACTGCCCAGCAACAGGATTCACCTCTACACGAACTCCAATCCCAGCATCTAATAGAATGGATTGGGAAGCGTTAACCCACTTGTCTTATTTGTCAACTCCATGGGGGAATTACTATTCCTCTAACTTGAATTCAAACCAAGGAAGGAGACAGGGGGACCAATCAGTGGCAAGAGAAGAAAGGAGGAAGTCATTGATGCAGGAAAGTAGGAGTGACTAATACCCTGGTTAGATGAAACCCACAGGAGCAGTCAAGATTTTCTTGTGTTTTCTTCCGTGTCCTTACGTGAGTCATAACCACAGTATTGTTTTCCTTTGAAAGTGAAAATTAGAGGGAAGTGTAACTCCTAGCTTTGCCCCAAATTTCTGTCTCTAGTGACTCAACTAGTGGCAGGTGGAGCTCTCACTTGGTTTCAGCTGTACCATTCAGCCAGCTGACAGTGGCTACAGCACAGTCAACTCTGGTCCTGAAGGTGCTGAGGAATTTTCAAACCTTTGGTACTTGGCAGGGCTATACCCTTTTTATTTTGAAATGATTTTTGACTTTATAGAGAAGGTTTAAAGCTACTAGAGAGTTTAGCAAAGTCAAGAAACTAATTGGTATAATACTTTGAACTAAGCTAATTATCTCATTTGCATTTTAGGTTTCCACTAATGTCCTTTTTATATACTAGAATCAAGTCTAGTATTCATACTGCATTTATGTCTTAATCTTCTCCAGTTGTCTCAGGGAGTACATGAAGCCATGTCTCACTGTTAATTAGTACATGGTTTATTTCATGGATTTCTCTTCTATAAAATTATTTTCCCCTTAGTAATTAAAAATACATATTTTGGGGAAACTACTTAAAGGCCAAGTAAATATCCTCTTTTCACTTTGAATTTTCCTGGTGGATTTTGGTGTCTATTAATACATTTTCCCAGCCATCGAGATTTTTTTTACACCAAGCACGATGGCATGATAGAAGTCTGGTTTGTTCCATGTAGAGCTTTATGCTCTATTTATTACAGTAGAAGGTAGGATATTAGGTAGAAGGTGATTTGTGACAGCTCTGTGGGTGGATTTGGGTTCTTATGGTTCTCACTGTACTGTATGATTTGTCCCTGCTATTAGCATAATTGATTATGAAGCCATGGTTTGGGGGTAGTAGCACCTAGAGGGAGATGACTCCCAGAGAGCAACATGCCAGGCGTGGAGAAGAGTAGGGAAGGAATGGTGATGGGAGCTTCCTTCAGGCTCAGGTGACCCAGCTTGCACCCAGTGTGCTTCTTGGAACACAGGGGAGCCTAGGTTTGCCTGAGATAGTGAGACGCCACTTTTTGCAGCAGCTGGCTGCCTGAGTTCATTCTTCACTGTATCATACCCGAAAAAAGTAATCTTTGAGGATTTTTCATGCTTTTGTAGTTTCTGGTCTCAGGACCAACAAATTCTGAAGTTAGTGTCTTTGCACCATGTGTGCATTTAAGAAACTTACAAAAACACAAACAGTATATTATTTTTGTAATATTTTATTGTAATTTTTAATCCTATTTTTGGTAATTTATTTATTGTAATAAAAGACAATATTTTATTGTAATTTATTTTTTCAGTTAAGCCTACAGGTACAAGATGCTCCATTGACGGGTCAGAAGAAATTGGAAATGACTTTAAATTAAAATGCGAACCAAAAGAAGGTTCACTTCCATTACAATATGAATGGCAAAAACTGTCTGACTCACAGAAAATGCCCGACTCATGGTTACCAGGTACTGCCAGTGTTATAAATTGTGCTGTGTGCTATTGATTGGAACTTCAATATAGTAGGGCTTGTATATGAATGTGCATTATATGTTGAAATTCTCAAATGCCCCTTCTTTTCAGTATAGAACAAAATTTCCGTTAAAATTATTCAGTGCTTTGTAATTACAACTTAGTATCATTTAAAATAAATGAAAAAGAAATGTTTCTATACCAATTTCACTTTTCAGGGTGTAAATATTTGGAAGGGGTTTTCAGCTAATGGGAAACATTCATGATCATAAATCGGATGAACACTAATGAATTGGATGTTGAGTTTGTCTAGATTCTTGTCATGGCTGCTGTAACTTACGCACAATATCTTTAAAAAAATCAATAACGATGTGACATTCACTAGGAAATGATAAGTTGGCAAAGACGGATCACTCACCCATGTATTCTGATTGGCCTGTTCAAATTGTTTGCCATATTCTACCTTATTCTCATCCAGCCCATTGGATCCAAAGTAAATTTTCCCCTCTGCCTCTCTTTTTGATCTTTCTAGGAGTCAAAACTAGATGATCTCTCTAACTGTATTTTAAATATTTATTTTTACTTTTTAAAAAGATTTAATTGAAGGCAGAGTTACAGAGTGAGAGGGAAAGATAGAGATGGATAAATCTTTCCACTGGTTTTTTCCTGAAATGTCCATAATGACCAAGGTGGGCCAGGCCGCCAGCCTTGAGCCTGGAACTCCATCTGAACCTCTCGCGTAGGTGACAGGGACACAAGCAGTAGGGGCATCTTCACTTGCATTAGCAGGGAGCTGGATGGGAAATACAACAGACAGGATTTGAGCCAGCGCTCTTAATGGGCTACTGGCATTGCAGGCAGTGGCTTAACTTTTTGTGCCACACCACAGGCTCATGTATATTTTTTCCTATTTGAGGGGATAAAAGAGGTTTGCCAGCTTCTCCTGCTGCGTAAAAATTTTTGTGGGGATATTCTTTCAAAATTAGTTGTGATACCGGATTACTCACTCTTGCTTCTACTGAGTCTTTGTGACTGACGGGCTGATGGTTACCATTACCTTGATCCATATGATCTGCAGGCATGTTTGGGTTTTGCAGTCATGCATCGACTCCAATGACTCTACCTAGCTTTTGTCTGCCTTGCTTTTAGCTCAGTTGTCAGAGTTGGTAGGATTTTTCCTTTATTAAAAACTATGAGCAGCGCATGCTGAAGTTTTTCCATTTTTCTTTTCTTCTAGAAATGACTTCACCGGTTATATCTGTAAAAAATGCCACTACTGAGTTGTCCGGGACATACAGTTGTACAGTCAGAAACCGGGTGGGTTCTGATCAGTGCCTGCTGCGCCTAGATGTTGTTCCTCGTAAGTATCTTTTTTCCGTCTGCTATGATGATGCTTTTGTTGTCTCTAGATAGTCTCTTTGAATTCAGTCAGTAAGTTCATATTGAGGATAAGAGAATGCCAGATTTGATCAGAACACTTTGTGGCTCTAATTAAGTAAAACCCCGTGCTGTTATTTAGAAAATAAAAGATGTCAGATCAGTTCTTGTACCCATATTTATCCATTATGAGTATGAGTCACTTGGAATATTCTTATATGCAAAATAAGATAGCTTTAAGGATCAAAGTTTTTTACTCTGGTTTTGTCGCTGTTACGCTTAGAACAGAATATACAGTTCAAAAGAGACTTTAATTTTATGGATTTCCTTAGCTGGATCTAAGAAGGTTAAAATGGACCTGGTGTGATAGCTTAATGGTTAAATCCTCACTTTACATCCACTGGGATCCAATATGTGCAGTGGCTCGTATCGTGGCTGCTCCACTTCCCATCCAGCTCCCTACTTGTGGTCTGGGAAGCAGTTGAGGATGAGCCAAAGCCTTAGAACTGTGCATCCACATGGGAGACCCAGACCTGGGTCCTGGCTTCAGCTTGGCTCAGCTTCTGCTGTTGGGGCCACTCGCGGGGGAGTGAACCAGGAGATGGAGAATGTTCGTCTCTGCCTCTCCTCTCTGTAAATCTTAAGTTTGCAATAATAATAAATAAATCTTTTTTTTAAAAAAGAAGGCTACAAAATTTGTCTCCTAACACATACAGTAGTGAAGTTTTTCTGCCTGAATATCAATGAATGTGTTGCTTTTTTTTTTAACTTTTGAAATTTGTTTATTTTTAATTCTAGCTTCCAATAGAGCTGGGACAATTGCAGGAGCGATCATAGGAACTTTGCTTGCTCTGGTGCTCATTGGTTGTATCGTCTTTTGCTGTCACAAAAAGCGCAGAGAAGAAAAATATGAAAAGGAAGTCCATCATGATATCAGGTAATTTAGTGAAATAGGAGTTGACTGATGTATACCAAATTTATTATGTTTCTGGAGTATTAGGTGTTTCTTAAATCATCTGAAGCATCTACCCCCTGTGAAAAGTTGGGCAAAGGGTTTGGCTTCTCCCCTCAACACATTTCAAAGAATTTACTTCTAAGTACAGAGGTTTAACACTATCATCTCTGTGTCCCTCCACGCCACCCATCAGTGTTCTTATGCTTCATGTCAGCAACCACTGCAAAATTATTATCTTAAGGCTGCCTTATGTGAAACTGGAAAAAGATACTGAGATCTGTTAAAAATCTGGTCATATCAAGCAACATGGGCAGCTAACACTATTGGTAGTGTGATTTTATTTTTCTAAATATTCTTTTTAGAAATTCACTTATTTTTATTGGAAAGGCATATTTACAAGGAGAAGCAGAAATGTGGAGAAAGATCTTCCATCTGCTGGTTCTCTCTCAAAGTAGCTGCAGTTGCTGAAGCTGAGCTGATTTGAAGCCAGGAGCCAGGAGTTTCTTGCGGGTCTCCAACGTGGGTGCACAGTCCCAAGGCTTTGGGCCATTCTGCACTGATTTCCCAGGCAACAAGCAGAAAGTTGGAGGGGAAGTGGAGCAACCCAGACATGAATGAGTGCTCATCTGAGATCCTGGTACTTGCAGGCAGAGGGATAGCCATTTGAGCCATCATGCTGGGAAACAGCCTTCCTCCCCCAACCCCGATTCCCCCAGCCTTTTTTTTTTTTTTTAACAAAAATGGAAGATACATTTGTGTATTTTTAAAGGCAAAGCTACAAAGAGGGATAGACAGAGGAGAGTTTGTGTCCATTAGTTTGCTTCCCAAATGGCTGCAATGTCCAGATCGGAGTTGGTCTGAAACCAGGAGTTTCTTCCATGTCTTCCATATGGGTGGCAGAAGCCAAACACTTGGGCGATCCTCTACTGGTTTGTTTTGTTTTGTTTTGTTTTGTTTTGTTTGTTTTGTTTTGTTTCCAAGACCATTAACATGGAGCTGGATTGGAAATGGAGGAACTAGTGTCCATTTGACATGGATGCACCACAGGTGGCAGTTTCACTTGCTGTACTACAGTGCTAACTCCTTGCATGCTTGTATTTTTTAAATGCATCAGATACCTATTCTTGGTCAGTGCTTATTTGTGAAATTCTTATTTCTAAATTCCCAGTTTTTATAAGGTAAATTGACAAAGTTTTCACATAAGTCGTAGACAATTTTCATAGCAAAAGTTTAATTTCTTTTTGTAAGATGTAAGTACATCTGTGGTTGGTAGAACCTTGTTATCTGTTCTAGTGAGATTGCGGTATGGAAGTATTTAAGATTTCCTCCACATTGCGTTGTTAAACCTTAAGCATTCACTGAAAATGTGACTTTGTTAAATGTAAAGTTACACATTGTTTTTTGTCAAAACGACAAGTCAGTTTATGACATTATGCCTTGCTGTGCCAACTGTTGTTGTGACAGAAGCTCAAATCCTTTAAAACTGTAGATTTCTGTTAGTTTGATTTTGGACTTTGCTTTTCAGGGAAGATGTACCACCTCCCAAGAGTCGTACCTCCACTGCTAGAAGCTACATTGGCAGCAATCATTCATCCCTGGGATCCATGTCTCCTTCTAACATGGAAGGATATTCCAAGACTCAGTATAACCAGGTCCCAAGTGAAGACTTTGAACGTGCTCCTCAGAGCCCAACTCTCCCACCTGCCAAGGTAGCTGCCCCTAATCTAAGTCGAATGGGAGCCGTTCCGGTGATGATTCCAGCACAGAGCAAGGATGGCTCCATAGTGTAGAACCTCAGTACTTCTCAGCTGTGTTACCTGTATTACTTTTTTTCTCTTGACATAAGAAAACCTATTCTAGTTGAAATTTTGTTACCAACTCTAAAGATTTGAAAAAAGATCTCAACCAAAAGTTGTCAGAAATGCGCTTACAAGTTTTATTTTTTTGGTTTTATTGAATCACAAAAGGCATTCATTAAAGTTAGTAAATAGACATTCTGTATCTGAAAAATATGGATTTTCTTTAGGAGATTGACTTTGAAGGTTTCTAAATATGAATGCCCAAGTAACATGTAGCACTTCATGTGAAATCACAGTTGAAGAAATTTTTGAATTTTCATGCATACAAAGTTGATACTTGAATCATCTTAAAATGGTACTGTATAATTTGTACCATTATTTTTAAAATGTTTGTCTCACTTATTTATGATCCAGCAGTCTTCCCTCAATTAGTAGTAAAGAGACATCCTTGACAGAATTACTTACATATGTTTATACTTGTTTTTTATAGCTACTTTGAAAACTCTAAATCTATTTGAAATATCTCTCATAACATAGAAAACACTATAGTGTGTTACAAATTAACTAGTTTTCTATTCAAGTTATTCATTAACCTTATACAATATTTCTTAAATATTTCATAGACTGTTACGGACAACAGGGACATAATAAGCTCTTTGATTTGCTAAAGTAAAGGAGCATCTGTCACATTCAGTTAGAACTCTGCTGTCGGTTCCAAGTCCAGCTTTCCTATAGGTGCTGTAGTGGGGTTAGATTTCTGTTCATTAGCAGTCTGATGCCCTGGGGCTTGTGATAGTCTTCTGAACAGTGACTGCCAGATCAAAGATGTATTTCACATTTCTACATAAACACTGGCTCTGTACCTTCGGTGAAATTTTTCTCGTAAGAAATTACAACTTAAGTCTTCTATTATTTGATCACTGTAGATTGAAATTTCCTAATTGGCTCTAAGCATTAGGTTTTTAAAAAATTCAATCTGGGTTTTGTTTGGATAGTGTTGTATGCTATATTTTACAGACACTTGTTATTCTAAATTTACCCTCTTGAATGCAGTTCCTGGAGAACAGTTTCATCGTAGACTCGGAATGATCAAGTGCATTTTAAGCAATTAAGTGTCCTCCATCAATTTTGTATCTTAGTTTTGGGGGATGTACAATTGCTGTTGTATGGCCAAACATGTCTGTGTAATTCTAGCAAGTCAAGTGGAACACTGAAAGAGTTTGAGTCTTCATCTGTAAAAGTGATTTATTCCTTAAAAATTAAAAAAACTAAGGAGTAAAGGGAATACTCCTACTTGCCAAATGTATCAGATAGTACTGTCAGTAGAAGAGAATGAATTTATTGTATTTCCCTTGAGATTGTGAGGGAGTGTGGAAATAGTAGGAAGAGCCAACAGTATCTTTATAGTAAACAAGGTCTGCAATAAATTATTTCACTAGTTCTAAAACCTTTTCCCTAGATTTTAGTAGGGAGATGGTTTCTGTTCATCTCTTTGGGTGCTGTGATGGTAAATGCTGCATTATAAATTAATGTTGGCATGTATTATATGATTAGGCAGAATATTGTGTACACTTTAATGGTAAATTTAAGATGAATGTGTGCTAGATTAGTGTGTAGTTTACATATTTGCAAGCTTTTTTTTTTTTTTTAAAGTTTTAAACCTTACATAAAATTACTTTTATATTTGTGTTGACCTTTCATCTGTGCCTTTTGGGTAATTTACTTTCCATTATGAATTTCTGGTGCCTATGAGCTAGCTATCACCTACGTGAAAGGTGCTTAGAGGTGAAGGTACTGTTTGTAAACTTGATCACTGTGACATCTTTCTGTCCTCATGCTTTCAGCCTAGTCTCTTCCTGTGTGTTGTTTTGGATGTAACTTAAATGATTGTGTTATTCATAAAGGCTTATAAGTTTCAAGATCCCCAACACTGACTGTGTTTCTGATTTTATAACAGTAGCTATTTTTAATGTGTCGGGTGCTTGGCCTGTTTTATATGAATAAAAACTAAGATATTCTAAGAATAAGACAAAATAGAAACTTAATAAAGTTTTGATCCTTACTATTTATGATTTTCACATAAATATTATGTAATCAATTCAAGAGGAAAGTACCACAGAAGGGAGACCTGTGTAAGACTTTCCTTTTCTTAGAAATCATACTTTGGCTACAAATAAATCAGGATCTATTCTAGAATGGCTTCAGTTTAGATACATAACAATGACAAAATGAGAAACAAGCTTGTACAAAATCAGTTGTGGAGCTTGAAGGGTATAATTACAGAATAGAGCTCCAGCTACTCATTGTACATTTCCTTTAGTCCAAGGGTCAGATAGCAATAATAATTATCCAAGTAATTCTCACCAGTAATTCACTTGAACTAGAGATAAATCGTTTTAGAAATTGCATACCATCAGATTTATTAAAGCATTTCAGTTAGAGGACGAGACAACACCAGTCAGGGAAGACTTGCATCTTAAAAGCCAAGCCTTTTGATTCCATCTTATTCCTGAGAGACTTGACACCTTCATAACCAAGATAGTGTGAAATGACACCATTATTCTGCACTTTGAATATGGAGTGGTTAATGGCATACTTGTTCTGACAATCTTACACAAATATTCCCATTAGAAAGCTTCCCAAAACAGCCCTCCAAAAAAGTCTCTTGCTGATCCTCCTTACCAGATATTCCACACATACTACGTCCTTTAAAGTTGAGCTACTTTCACAGATTTGTTCCAGTGGAAACACAGCCTGAGTGTTTTTTAGGGGGAGCTTAATTGAAAACATTCAAATCATTATTAATATAAATACATATTTTTTATTTAAAAAGTGATTTTAAAAATTTGAGTCCTGGAAATATAGAATAAGGGGCAAGTAGATATTTTGATTAAAAACAGCACATTGCATGAAGTTGGCTTTCAAATTCTGAAATATGTGACTTCTAAAAATAACTATTCTCCACGTCTTTGTGTGTGTGCGCAGCATGTAAATCTGAAAATTTGTGAATGTTTAGTTTTCCCTCCAACTTTCTCAACAGTGTTTAAGGCTTCAGATGCCTTACTCCAGTGTGAACAAAAAAAGTCCTTATTTTCTGTGGTTAAAACTTCAGTGTGTCACCTAAGGAGTAGTTTGTAGAAAACATTGGCACAACTTTCTAGTGACATGTGACATTATATATTATATATATGTATATATATCTTTATAACATTCCTGTGTTTAGTAGTGCAAATGTTCTGGGCAAGTTTTAATATTTCAAATGCCTTTGGATATTCTAGCAATAAAATCAGCATGTCTGGCAATGGGATTTCTTATTCATTTGCCTGCGTTATCACTAAAACATTGTATAACTGGGCAGAGATTTCTTTCATAAATGTTAAGGAAGCAAGGAACAATAAATCTATGAATCGTGGTTCTATTTTTTTCTTTTCAGAGAAAACTGGTCAGCAATGGATAGTAACACCAGCTTCTTAAAAAAATTAAAATAAAGTGTTTTTAAAAAGATATACTACTTTGTAGTTTAGGAATATAGTGAGTATCAGTTGGGTTTCATTTTGATTATGGATACTGAAAGTTCCATCCAAGAGCTCTGTGCTTTATGCTCTCTGCTTTGATGCTACGAGAATGAGAAGAACCGCAATTCATTGATTCATTTATTCTTGTCCCTAACTGTAAATTTTAGTGATAAAATCCATGTGTACTGCTGGGAACAATATTTTGACACTTCACATATGCAAAGTAGAGAATTGATAGTGTCAATTTCAGATTTTGTATTTAAAACTTCTGGCTTACATATCCAATGGTGCAGTTTTGAAATTTGTAAGAACAAAATTTGTTTAAAAACAAAAGTAAAAACTTGCTCTAGTTTTGTGACCTTGTGTACTTTTGAAATAAAATGAAGGAAGTAGTTCTTTGCCTCACGGTGTGGCTTTATTGTGCCTTTTAAAAAATGTCTGCTAAAGTCTCAGTGTTATTCTTCCCTGCTTTCCTGTGTCAAGGCTTCCTCCTTTTGCCCCCATGTGTCCTTCACACAGCAAGAATAAAGAATGCAACAACCATACTGCAATTGATAGCCTCTCAGACATTCATATGTTTCCCCACCTCTGTGCGTTTATAAACTAATATTTGGAACCTCCAAAGGTCTGTCATTTCATAATTTACATAATGTTAAGAGACATTAAGATTATACCTGTATTTTGTCTTAAATATATATGTATCTAGTATTGCTACTTTTATAACAAAATACTTAGACCATAGGTAATTTATATAAACAACCAATTTAGTGGCCACAGTTCTGGAATCTGGGACGAACAAGATCCAGCCACCAGCAGATCTGATGTTTGGTGAAGTCTCGCTTTGTGCTTTAAAGGAAGCTTCTCTTGCTGGTCCTTGGGGCAGCGGCAGGCAGGAGAGCTTGCACAAAGTTTTTGTATAGATTCCTAGACCCATTCATGGGAATGGGGCCATACTGATTTGATCATTCGCCCACTTTTTGGTACTATCACCTTGGATATTAGGTTTGAATATAGGAACAGTAGGGGGTACAATTCAGACTGTTACATTTGTTATGCTTTAGAATAATATATATTTTTTTATCAGCTCTAAACATTGATTTCCATTTAAAACCAGGATGAGTTAACAGCTTCTTTAAGAAGACATGTTGAGGAATACTTTATTTACATCAGTTTCTCATTTTAGCGTGTTAACATTTTGATCTAGATAATTTTTTTTTTGTATTAGGAGACTGTCCTTGCATTAAAAAAAAAACAACTTTATTTTAGGCCAGGCAGCGTGGCCTAGCGGCTAAAGTCCTCGCAACTATAGTCCTCGCCTTGAATGTGCCAGGATCTCATATCAGTGCCGGTTCTAATCCCGGCACTCCACTTCCCATCCAGCTCCCTGCTTGTGGC